ACTATAGGCTGAAACTTCTAGATTTCAGCTTGGAATCACTTTTAATAATGGTCATTTATACTGCTTTCACCACGGTCAAGTAACCATTTCTATCTTATCAGGACATAATAGGGAATGAAGCTCGTAACAAGCATATATTGTGCTTCATATTGCATCATTCACTCACTTTGCATCCAATACTCATTGACCGTGTCAGACATTTTCAGATTTGATAAAGTAAAACTGTAGATTGATTGTTCTACGGTCTATGAACTAAACTGTTCAACCTTGAAGCTTTCAACTTCCTGCTTCGTAGCACAATCAAAACATGCTCCTACCTGGTTTACATATGTCATCTGATGTGGCTGCTGTGGCATTTTTCAAGCGTGATTATCCTCTATGTAGCCAACTGTTAAGCGAGTTAAGGTTGGAATGAAATCTTGTTGTGGTCAGTAGTGTTAACAACCAGCCGCCTTGTAGACTGCTTTACTTCATGATACTTTCATTTATCGAGTATTGACTGTTTGCTTGAATGTGAGTAGTGGATTTTCTTCTCGGATGCAGTTGAGGTGGTTACCATATATGACTATTGGAGTCACTTTTCAATGCAGACTTCTCATTCCAATCCTAACTGTTTGACTTTATCAGCGAGTTTCCAATCGCCTACAGAAACTAAGTCATTATAGTCGAAGTTATTTTGAATATGCTTACAAAAATCTACGTCTGTTAGTGAATTTGACAAGACGCAACTGGGATGCATTAAACATATGTTTGACCACTTGAAAGTTTGTGGAGTCATTAGAACGAGTTCATATGCGAGCAGCGACTATTCACGCTGGATCAACAACATGTTAAAAAGGACTATGTTATATTGCGTAGGGTTTTTGAAAGCTATCATTAGGGTGAATGATTTACCCTAGCCCAACTAATCAACACTGTGCTTCATAGACGCTGAAATCTTAGGAAGCAACTAGCTACAGTAATTTTAACTCACAATGTACATCGACATAATTCTCAGCTCTGTCCTTGTATCTCCTCAGGGAAGAGAAGAAGAAATCACATGCGACTTTACGCTCTTACATGTAAGTAAAAGAACTCTTCTATACTTTACCTAGTACGGATATTATGTGACAAAAAAAGTGTTAAAATGGAACTCACATATCAACTTGGTAACAGTTAAAAATCTCATTTCAATAAATTAATTAACAATGAAAAATGCTCCTGTTTTTAATATTCTTTATATTGAAAGACAATTGCACTGTGAATCACTGAAATCTAAGTGACTATTTAGGTTTAAGTATATTCCAGTGCAATTTTTCATGTTATTTATACCTATTAGAATGACACTAAAGTCACTGCCTTAATCACATTTTTCTCACAACTAAAATTCTATATATCTGCATATATATCAGCATAGTCATATGCTTTGACTGTTAAGATTTATGATCTGAAGCCTTCACCTTTGATTTCTTATGAGTAGTGCAAACCGATAAAGTAACTTGTGTTTGTTATGATTTAAATTTCCTACTTATCTTAAACTGTTTTGCCTGATTATAATCATATGAATTTAACGTAATATGAAACAGTAAAACATTAGTTAACACTCTCTTGGAATTTAGTATGAATCAGACTCTGCAGAATTGTTCCACGGTGACAGTGATAATTTATTATGCTATAGGAGTTAGAAAAATGTTGAAAACTATATTTTGTTCTCATGCCGGTTATTTGAGCGAATGGTACTTCGTACAAGCTGATCAGCTGATAGTCAAGGTAATGATCGAATTCTGTGAATCGCTATTCACTTTGTCTACTGGACTGAATAATGTTTGAGGAATGCAGTGTGATAGTAATATTTTGAGTAGTTCTCAAAGTGAACTACTTGACGGAAATATTTAGTAGCCCTTAAGAGATGTAGAATAACATTACTTCTTACTGTGAGAACGAATGCGCATTTATGATTCACTTATTCTAGTTATAATAATCCAACAGTCATAATTCATAGACCGAGAAACATGCAAAGAGACTACTTCTTAAATTCAGGATCACATACCAAAATTATTAACAATATATATCTTGTTGATGACTGTAGGCAAGTGTGTAGTTAATCTAAGCTGAAATCATCTTCCTGATTGTCTCCCAACAGATTGTGTAAACAGCTTAATTGGTCACTTAGGTCACTCCATTTATCTGGAGACAGCTTTTAATGAGGGATATTGATTGTAAAAACTTTTAGGAACAGAAGGTTCCGAATTTAGTATTAAGAAAGATTATTCAGAGTGTATAGTTTTGGAGAACTTTATGCTGCCAAGGAACAATAGCTCAGTTCTCTCTGTGTGCTTACGAAACTAGTGTTATCTAGTGCTAATCGTATATTATTCAGTCATTGATCAGAAATCTTCTGCAAATGGAAATTGTTTGATTCATATGTGACCATACTTGACTGAATGTCATGATGTCATGCCACAGATAGAGTATGTCAAGGCGTCACAATCAAATGTGAGCTTTAAGTTGAGCAACAACTTTTACTGCCAAAGGGATGGAGTCACAGTAGGTTCTTTAATAGGCTAATTTTCAGTAGATATTTTTGCGTCCAAATTGGAAGCATCTATAGTTGACTTATACATCAAATAATTTAAATTCTACAGAATGTGTTGATCATTCATTCGTCGTCTTTAACAAGACATTCAGCTTACGCAGTCTACTTTGAGTCTTCAGTCAGTATTCTTCTATTATTTCCCTATTACTGGAGTAGAAATCGCATTCAGAGATACTATTTTTTTTACCATCCTACCAAATGAAAGAGTACTAATCAAGAAGCTATTCGAAATGAAACATAAACCAATTTTCACAGCAAGGTAACCATTAGCTGGAGAATAAATTCGGTCCATTCCTTTTGAGCTAGAGTCTAAAAAACTTACAGATTTAGCATCGAAGAAGAAGGAGAGCTAGAGTCTTTAGGTTCTGTATTCACCGAAACAGATGTACAGAAAGATTTGTCAAATATATTTTAGGTTAGATAAAAAGAAAGTGACTTTGTACTCATACTTCAGTGGTGATGTAGAAAATAACATTCTGAAGAGTAGATTAGTGAAAACACACAGAAAACATTTTACACCGTAAATTTATGAACCATCAATGGTAACTGTTCAATACTGAACCCATGAAAGAAAGACAAACTAGTAACACTGGATGCTTTAGACAGTATATATTAGTTCACCTGCCCCTTTCTAACCGAGTTATAGGTAGTAGAAAGAGATAAGTTGTTGAAAGTCGAAGTGACATCTTGCAACATGCCTCAGGGAAGAATAATTTAGATCACTCATTTGTTTCAGTCAACACATATAACCGACATTGATCACAAAAATTCAGAAGATTAGTTTCATTTCACTTACAGAATTCCGAAGAAGCTTCAAGAAGGATGTCAGGAAAATTCTATTATACACTACTGAAGCTTTAGCAATATAGAAGCAGAGACCAGAAATGTGTCTTCAGTAGCAAGTTCCACATTCAACATTCTTACACACTTTTCAACAATGTAAATCCTCACCTCCATCTCTTTCCCTATTTATTACATAGATTTTTAACTCAGTTATTAATTTTTTTTCTTGACTACTTTTTCTTCACTCGGTAACAAATACTCAGCCATTTCGAAGGTTTGTGGGGATTTACTTATTGATTTCATGTTCTTATTTATCACAGACTGACATCAACTTGAGAATCAGTTAATTCCTGGAAGCACTGTACAGTTGCCTCTTCCCTAAAAGCTTCCAAGTAAAATAAGTATCTAATTCTCTTTGGTAAGTTGCTTCGAGATGGGACTCCCAAATTTCTAATGAGAAGTAGTGATCGGTGGGGCAAAGCAGGTTGGACGTAAGCACCGGTACTCAGCGACGGCACTGGGTGAAGGTCATGACATATCACGAATTGGCAGAAGTAAGAAATGTGGATCATCCGGACCCAGCCCAGTGGCTCAATGAAATCATGCTGGTCATCAAATCTGGAGGTTCTGGGTTTGTTCCTTGGCAGGGTCGTGAGTGCACACTACTGAAGAGTTCCATGATAGGGCGCAATAGTTGTTCAGTGCCCCTAGATGTTTGCTGGTTCTCCGAATAATGGTAGTCCATGGTGAGTACTAACGGGAAACATTCCAACTAATTTTTTGAGTATTCTTCATCTCTTGACTTCAACTGATGTTTATTCTAAACCGGCTGCCTACTCACATAGTCAAAAAGTAGGACACAACCTATGTAATTATCGCTATCATATTATTCTCCTGACGAAAAACTAACAAGAGGAGCCATTTGAGTTTTCTTAATTATAAGGTATTGATATTAATTATTGATACTGGGTAGTGATTGAAGGTGAAGTGAAAATCCGGGTGACGGAAGGATTTGAACCAGTCACCTCCGGGGAGACTGGCTCGATGCTCTACTAAGTGAGCTACGAGACGCAGCTGCTGACCAGATAATGATTTCAGTTCAATTACCAAGGATTTTCTCAATTGTCATGTGAATTCGCGATGCATCACTGTCGTTTGATCATATTCACATGGGCTGTCCAGTCAGGACTACTCATCCCAGTCGAACTCAACTTGGATTAGGGAGGAGGGGCAGCATCATATTGATTGTCATTTTGACTATCTGACATATCCGTGGTTTAACACAGTGGTAATTCCACTGGGTGTAGGCTGATGTGAAACTAAGATCTGGTCAGCAGCCACGTCATGTAGCTCAGTCGATAGAACCCCAAGCCACTAACCCTCAGGTATCTGGGTAGAATCCTGCCGCCACCCAGATTTTCATTTCATCTTGGATCATCACCCAGTATCGACACTACAGTCTTGTCAAACCACGGATATCTAAGATTGCTCAGTTGATATTGATTGTTTTTAAGTGCAGATTTTTGGAATGATATCTCCCAAAATAAACTATTCCTGTGAAGTTATTATTTACTGTCTCAATGAAAACTACTCAAAACATATACTACTATATTCATGACTTTTGCATAATACATGGACTTACTTTGTGTTTTATAACCGGGAAGTGTTTCTGCACACTTTTTCACTGTGCAAGTATTGCGATTATTATTTATATTTATATGCCTAGTGTTAATATCATTATTATTCTTCGTTGTATTAAAACCATTAGTGTTATTACCATCATTATTATTGGTATTATTAATGGTAAAGTGACTTCGTTCTTGATTTATATTTGGATGCGAATATGATAATAGATTTTCTTGTAGATTTACAACAGTATCTGTTCGTACTTTTGTGGGATTGAAGTTCATATTCTGATTGGGTGATAATTGACGTTGACCTAAATTATCCGATTTACTATTTTCATACTGTGAATATTCATTAAAATTATTTATATTGTTTGTATACTCAAGATGTCCTAATAGCTGGTTGTGCTGATGATCTAATGTTGAGAAAAGAAAAAAAAAAACAAATATACACATTAATAATGTATTTAGAATGTAAATAAGTAATCATAATTGTCAGTTGACAATCTGTGGATCTAGACAGTGAGATTTCAAATCCTTCAGAGATCCAAGAATTCATTTATCATCTTAAGTCGAGGCCAGTTTACGGAACAAATGTCATGTTATACTTTCCAAAAAAACAATTTATGCTTTTTTTTGCATAATAACGTATTACCACCATGCCAAAAGTTGAAATATGCCTTCTACACGTGATCTATGTGACAGTGGTGTAGTTTTGTATTGAATGGAATGCAGATTCAACTGTCAACTTCATGTTGTTAGTTTTTGTGAATTTGAATTCTCAGTTAAGTAAAGTAGGAGCAACTTTATAGGTCACCTTAATAACTGTTAAGATAATCAATTAGGCTTCTACATGTTATGAAAAACTGTTTTCAAGACGGAATACCGAAGCCTGATTATTTATTGCAGCAGCTGCCACAGTGGCCATTAAAGTCTCTAGTAAAGTAGTTGGCTTGCTTGATAACTTCGATGCCTATCTTCATTGATAGTGTGAAACGAAGTAAATGTTTTAGGAGAGCACAGTGGTTCAATACACCTGGATTCCTAAGAATTCCTGAGCTGAAGTTTATTAGTAATTATAATTTTATTCATCTCTAAATCCAACTATATCACAACTATTATATAAGTGACTGACAACTTTAGAAACCTGATATGTAAGTGCAGAGTTTATATTTTATCTAATAGGCAAGTGTGATTATAATTTTGTCAGTCTCTTTCTTCACTTTTTATGGGTATTTTTATTTCACAAAAGCATATTATCTCAGCTGATATACATTAATATAGAAAGTGTACAGCGCATGAGATGTGTATTATGCCTTAGAATTCATGTTTATCACTAGCATGAAAATGAAACTAAGCTTAGTAAAATCTACATAAGTGCTAAAACTCCAAAATAATCATGTGAAAATACTAAAAAGTAGAAAAACAGCTTTTTCTCTGATATATAAATCTAATGAATCATTTTTAGCATATAATAGACTATTTATCAAACGAATTTCAATAGTATTTTCTTGAGCAAACTACTTTACTTTTATAGAATGTTCTCTTGATTCTCCATATGTATATGTAGCAGGATAAGTAAATAGTGTTCTGCTACGATTTTAAAACTGCCAGAAATCTTTTAAGTAGGCTCGTGAAATGGAGTTACAAAGCTAATTGAATTGTTTTGCTAGCAGATTAAATACTGCATTGGATATGTCGAAGCTAACAGAAGGGCAGGTATAAATAAACAGTATAGGAATGGAGAATATTTGTAGCTCAGGTGGGTGGTCTTGGTTGCATTGCGTTCTATGAACTGGGTTGTTTAATCGTGGGGCGGTCATCACCTCACTAGACGATATCATCAGCATTAACTTCAGTATGAAGTGAGCTGTCAATATCTCTCCATGAGTAATTTAGTAGCTGGTCCTGACGAACAGGTTTGTCATTGGTTGTTTCCTTCGGTTGCTGTGTCATTGACTATGTAGATTTTCCTGTTGACAGTTCCTCCACTTGACCTCTGACCTTTCTATCATTTATCATTTTCCCTATTGGTTGATAGACTGGGTCTATGTCTATACACATCTATTGATTGCTGACTGACTGACCCGAATGCCAAGCTTCTAGGAATTCTCTGATATTCCTTGTATTTCCTCTGTTCAAGATTTCTACATTGTCAAAATTGAATTCATGTCCATTATTATCCACGTGCATTGAAATGAGTGATGAAATGTCGTGCGTTGGTGTTCATGTAGACAAAGGCGAGGGGAGGCGACCACTTTGTTCAATGCACTGTTGACTACAGTTATTGTAGTTGATTTTGTAAGCATTGTTCGGTTTGCTTTCTTTGGTTGTTGCGTCCTTTGGTCTGCATAATATGGTTTGGAGAGAATTCATTTGTTTATGAGTGACACTGATTCCAGGTGGTCTCAGTAATCTTTTCGTGGTTTATGATATATTCCTTGTGTACGGTAGGATGATGTATTTGTTGATTTCTGTCGATGACTTTGTAGTTGATGATGAACGGGATAGGCATCTTCTGATAAAGTTTCGTATGTAACCGTTCTTCTCTAGAATAGACATCAAGTAATTTTCCTCGTTTCTCCGTGAAGTTGTACTGTAGCTTTTTCCCGCTCTTTTGAATAGTCTGCACGCAACTAATTTTGTGCGTTGCTGGGTCGTTGCTACTGTAGTTGAGGATTTGATTAGTGCGTGTTGTCTTCCTGTACACTTGGGTTTCCAGCTTTCTAGTATTTGTCCTGACGACTAAAACACCCAGGCATAATAGTTAGTTGTTTGACTCCTTCTCCATTGTGAATTTGATGTCATTGAAAAAGTTGTTGATCAAACTTTGAGTGTTTTATAAATCATTCTTTTTAATGATGACAAAAGTGTCGTCCATATAGCGAATCCAAATTTTTGGCTTAATCACAGGTGGAATGATGCCTTTTAGTCTTTGAATCACTCCTTCTACAATTAGTCCGGATATGGGTGACCCCATTGAAGTTCCTTTCATCTGTTTGTATATTTTTCCATTGAGTTGAAAGTATGTTGTCAGGCATAGGTCAATGAGTTCCTTCAGACTTGAACATTTAAGTTTTGTGCATTCTGAAAGGTTTATGCCTTCACTGAGAAGAAGGAACATAGTTTCCCTGGCCAGTTGAGGTTCGATGGATGTGTATAGTGCTATGACATCAAAGGATACCATTAATTTGTCGTTTTCTGTGTCAATGCTTTGATTTTCCTAAGAATTCTGCTGATGTTTTGATGAAATGTTCTCATGATTGAACAGAGTGTTTCATTTTTCTCGAAATTTCTCGTGATATGTTGCAATTTGGAGTTCCTGGAATTGAGACTATTGGTCGTAGAGGGATGTCTGATTTGTGTAGTTTTGGTCTGCCGTAGAACCGAGGATTAACAGGTCCATTTGACTGAATTTGCCACTTGTCTTGCTTTGTTGTTTCTTCTGTTTTGAAGAGTTCGTTCAACGTTTAATTCATCTGGTTGTCTAACTTTTGGATAGGGTTGGTTTCGAGTGGTTGATATACACTTTTGTTTTTGAGTAAATCCTCTGCCTTCCTGATGTAGTCTTCTTTGTCCATGACCTCTGTAGTGTGTCCTTTATCTGCTGGAAGCATAACGATATTTTTCCTATTTTTCAGTCTGTTTTTATGTTTTCTGTTCCTGAGCGTTCATTTGAGCATAGTGTCTCTTCTGCCTTGTTAGTGGTCAATATAGGTGTTGGTATGAATGGAACACGCCTCAAATTGCTATGGTGCGCTAAGAAATACAGTTATGTACGCATTCTTGAAAAGTTGTAAGAGAGACCAAATGAGACAAAGTGAATGGAGGTATGTAAGATTATGACTTAACTAAAGACAAAGTAGAAAACAAATGCAAGTTGGTTCGGAAACTTGGGGTACACATGAAAATCAATTAAGATCAAAACGCCATAGCCACAGTGTAAATGATACTCCTCTTCGCTTATCACTCAATATGTTACTGGAAAGTCAATATTCAGAAAACGATTCAAGATTTCCAAACAGCCAGGAGAATTACCAAATTTGCTGGTCCGGAGCCAACACAGCATCGAACAACTCGTTTTAGGAAGCACTCAAAGAAGATCCAAATGAATCCCAAGTAAGGCTTCTACACAAAGTTATCTTTTTAAAGAGGAAGATGTTCTGGAGTGCGACAGTATTCTCTAGATTCCTCAAAGAGGCCTGCACATCCCAGGAAAGCTTTACCGGTCAATCATGACATGTCAGATGTTCTCGAAAAACTGTGTGATCATACTTGAGCCTCAGATTGGACAAAAGACTTTCTAGAAAGATGTAGAACTCATGAAGGCCATCGACAAACCATTATAAACTTTTACTTTTTGTACATGTTTGATTAGGCAATAAACCACTATCATTTTCGCACTTCTTTCTGTTTTTGTGAATCTGAGTGACCCTAATGACTGAAGTCTAAGGTTACTGTTCAAGGATCAACCTATACATAGTTATATATATATATATATATATATATATATATATATATATATATATATATATATATATTGTACCACAAAGACACATCAACTTGCTATAGTCAGGATGCTTAAATTCCCCTACAACATTCAGTCTAACATTTACGGTTTTAAAAAATCCAGGACACAAATTAACATGGTTGCTTCTAACACTTCTTTGGTCTTAAGAGATAGACCGATCAACGTAGAACACAAATGTACCAGTTCAAGTTATCACACTTGATACTAACAGGCTAGCAAAAACGTCGCTAGGGAAAGTAGGACACTAAATTAAGTGAAAGCAAGTGGAAGCGCTAATAACTAAATGAGAATCGTAGATAGTGTTCAAAAGCGCATGAAACTGAGCAACTGTGGTCGATTTTCAGACTCATTATTAAGTGTCTCCGACCACTGATCCTTGTTATTCAGAGGACTTATGCCAGGCAGCCTATGCCTTCCCACACGGCTAAGATCAAGATTAGAAGACTTCAGAGCTGGTGCCATGTTTCGATGAGACGACCCCTGCTTTTATTACAACCTAATTATAGTTATACTAACATCACGCATTAAAGTAAGCGACAGCTCGATATATGTAATTCATATCTAAGCCATCTCAGTCGACGAACATTCTAACTCTAATATCATGAACTAACCTTCTTGCCTAATATCCTAGACATCCCTCAACGGTGCCCTCGTGGTGTTGTCGTGACACATGGATAGTGTTACTGAAAAATCTGTGTTTAAAAGCCTGAAGCTTTCTAGTATATTCTGTCGATATTAACGTTATCTGACTTCCATGAAACTGGGCAGAGTTGTACACACCTAGTTAACCTTATTTCCGCATTTATTGGCATTCCTAAGCAAAAGGTATTTGTGACCTAGGAATAGCTGTTGCTTATACAGTTAGAAACTTTAATATTACATATTCTAGTAGAGAATGAAGCAAAGCAGGAAGAGTGTGGCTTTGAATTTTTTAAAGCATTCTGGTTTTCCTGGGATCAACAGTGACACATCATTCTAGGATGCCGTACAAAAAATGATGCAACAAATTGTGTATGCATCACTAAATGTTTGCTTACCTACTGCCAGAAAAAGGCTTAATCTTAGACAATAAGCATTTTCTTTCTTTGTTATAACTGACATTTGATAAGATGGGAAAATTAGCCCCGTTATATTTGTGTCCTAATTCCCTAGCCAAAGAGGCAAGGTGAGTCACATGCTGAATCATATAGGCGTGGTTTTTTTCCAGTATATTCTGTAAATGTTTAGTCCTATGAATTCATTGTTAATGTTTCTGCTCAAGCTTCAGACAGGATAAGTGTACTTTCCTGAAAAAAATATATATGTACTTTAAACATTCAGATTTGATTGTTATATGAATATGAATGAAATTTAGTCACCGTGGTGGAAAATAATTTTATGATAATGTTTTTCGTATGCATCACATACTAAAATCGTATTACTTACTGAGATGACATTTATAGCAGAATTTATTGCTCATAATCACATCGATTATAATATAACGTTTACAAGTGATGTGGTTAACTTTTTTTAAGCAGAGTAGGAGTTTTAGCATACAAAAGGTAATTGGTATGTTTCTCACCCATCAGCACTTTTTGGCAAGGTCCATCCACCGTCTTAGAAAGACCGATTCTTAGCTGATAACGTTAAGCTGGATCAGGGACATTATCATCATATTACAAGGTTCATGACTGAACCTACTTCTCAATGCATCAATCATATGAATCGGTAACTTGCCAGGTTACCAACTCTAAATTCTAGTATAACATGATGTCTCCCGATTAATGACAAAGAACATGCATGAAGAATAGCAATGTTGAAAGAATCTTTGTATATTGGTATTCCGTTTTAAACGTTCAACCAAAGGAAATTGTCATGCTCTGGAAATAAATTTCGCCTTAGGGCGCTAAAAACAAGCGTAACATGAAGATTCTTCACTAGATTTTAGATGTGGATTACAAACCTTTTGGAAAAAATATTATCAGTTTGTTCTTAAAATGCAGAAGTTATCTGTTTCTAGGGGTGAAGTGAAAAGAAAACAAACTGTTTGGCTCCTGATTACTAATTTCTAGGAATAAACTACCCATTTTCTGACAAAATGTCTGCTTTAATTAAAAAAAAAATCAGGACCAATTTCATTTGTAGTGATAGCAGTGGAATTCAAAAAAGGTGTTTCGTCCCGTTTAAGACTCGTTAACTGGATGTACATAGACTCTGGTGAGTGATATTGTTCCTACTGAGAATCAAACACAGTATCCATCTCTTAAGACGCCGAACCATTGTGTCTCAGTTGCCTACTGGAGAACGCTATAGCGCTTAAATCGAAAGGTACCGGTTTGAATATCAACAGGAATACTATCACTCACTGGGTTGCAGGAACATCCAGCTCACGAGTCTTAGATGGGGCGAAACGTGCATCTTAGATTTCACGGCTGGCCATCATCAGGTGAATTACGACAATGAATATTCGGCAATATCTTAGAATAAGTAGCGGAGCGTTTATTCTAACAGGGGTAGATTAATTAGATCTAGTATAGCAACAAGAAGTCGTAAGTATCAACAAATAAGAGCTAAGTTTTTTAGAAGGAAATCTTGGTATTAATGGGTAATGCAGTACAAATATGTAGTTCCGTCCTCCTTACTCTTTCTGGGAGAAACAGGTTTCCCGGTATGTTGGTTTAGATAAAAGTTCCTTCAAACTTTAGAGCTCTATCAACAGTGGTCTACTATGCTAACACAAGCTGACTAGTCTCGTCCCAGAAATTTGTGAGAATGGGAAATCTAATATAATCTTGCATGCTTCATAGACATACCTCTGGTTTTCAAAGCAGTAGGTGCTAACTGTGGATATATTGGGAGGTCTAAAATTAACAGTCTATCATGTTGACTCCAAGAGCATTTAAATACAAAACTTCAGGAACTGAATTATTATCGCGTGCTCATTAGTAATTTTCTTCGATATGCGATGTTCCGAAGTCTTGATATAAAGTTGTGGCCCACTGGGAAAACTATGTAGAACGTGAGGACAGGTACTCAACGGCAGTATTGGACAGTGGTCGCGCTACATCACGAATTGGAAGAAGTATGGAAACGCACATCACTGGATTCCGAACAAGTGTATCAGTAGTAACGTGCTGCCTGCGACACCTGAAGGTCTTGGGTTCAATCTTTAGATGGGTCGTGGGTGTGTGTTTCTGAGAAATCCTGTAGTAGGACGAAAAAGGGGTTCAATGCTCCCGGGCTTTCGGTGTTTCTCCAAATGACGATGATGAGTAACTACAACTTTACTCGCCACATCAATCAACAGAGACATAGCGAGTGATGCAATTAATATCCTCCTCAAAGGTGATTAGAGCCTTCAGAATTACACAAATCCGGCAGAATTAATCAACCTGTCTAACAACGTAGTTTCACTTCGGTGGTAAGGCCTACAAACGAACTGAAGGAACTGGCATGTGCTCAACAACGTTCGGAATGATAATAAATAAGCAAACATCTAAAGATTAGGATTCGTCGTCATTCCTTTAATAAATAGAAAGTTTGCATCCGTCACATCGACGATACGCTTGATTTGAAAAGCATGTTAAGTCTCATTAACCAAACATTTGAAAGCATTCAGTTGACAAAGAAGGAGGAAATAATAAAAAACCACGTTCCTAGTTGTTCTCACCTGTAGAAGACATGATGGAACTTTACAGAATCGAGTGTAAAGTAAAGCGACACATAAAACCAAATTCTGAACTACAGCAGAAACAACGCAACATCTCTTAAAGGCAGTTGTGCACAAAAAAGCATTGGTCACACATATGAGGACCAGTTGATGCACTCAGCAACTGTAGGAGTAAGAAGACAATCACTTTTACAAGATGATAACAGTCGCTGCTTATCAATAGACTGCACCTCAGGACAATTACCTTAACACACTGTACGAAACACCCTTCTGTGTATCAGCAGTGTCTCAGTAAAACTATCAACCGATAACTTTATCCAGTCGGTATGAGAGTAACTCACAAACCAAATGAATCTCTGTGGAACATCCAGTGCAAGCTGGAGTATCTGTTACCCGAATATCATGTGCACAAATAGTTGTAAGACCTGTCAACATAGCTTTGCTGACCAACCCAGTCGTCAATTGGTCCAAAGAATCTACAATCTGGGTTCGGACAGCGTGGAAGTGGCACAATAAGCATGCTCAAAATTCCCAGTGACTCCCCGTTAGTACGTTACTCAAACAGAATAGCGATTCACAAAAACTTGGACATTGACCCAGTGTACGTGAACTGCTAATGAAGAATCAGCTAACTGGAAATCATTCAAGTAAATAAATAATCAGATATTTGATCAGCTGTATAGATGAAATAATAACAAATGTTGTAAACGTCAACTTGTGATAGAAAAGAGGGAGAAGTCATCCCTTCCCGCAAGTTGATGGTGTTCAAGATTGACAAATATCCTTCATGAGAGTTAATATGACTTGAAAAATGCGTTAACATATAAAGAAATAAAGGCTGATTTGGTTACTCAGACTGACGATGAAGCATCAAAGTGTGAAGGCTCTGAGAACATCAGACATTTGTCACTGTGTGCTATATTCAGTGAATGAATCTAAAATGGAATAAGGTTCTATTGCAATGCCCAAGTTCTGCTTTTAGATTGGTTCTTGTCAGTTAACCCGTATTAATATTTAGTCTGACTTTTATGTACTAATTTAGAGCCATCCTGAAGAATTAAATAGGAAAGACACTCTTGATTCTGCATCTCTCTTTTTATCTACTGTTTTTGTGAATAGGGATTGGCTAAAAGGAAAACCAAATAAGTAATTACTAAGAAAGTTTCCACGCCTAACACCTTTAATTTATCTTGCTACATGATAAGAAGGATCTTATCAAATCATTTGTTTTCTAAGAAGGTTTGGATGATGGAATGCATTGAAAAATCTCAACATCAAAAGCTTTTTATCAAAATGAATGTTTTATATGAATTGATGATTTCGATCAGTCGTGAAAGCTCTTTTCTTCATGGTTTTTCAGTTTCTATGTGGTGAAAGATAAGCTTAGTTTCAGAAAGCTTTTATGGGATTTTCAATAAACAAACTAAGAATAACCATTCTATTCCATTTAGGTACTTTGTTGTGAATGAGATAACTAGTTCATATAATCTACCATATAGATTCTTTTGATAAATTCATGACAATATCGCTACCAGTTCTAGAACCTATGAAAAATTATTCTTTTAAATGGAATTATTTCCACGGACAGATGCCTAAACTTACAAAGGCTCATTGAAATCTAATGACCATTGAAGAGATGTTCAGATTTTTCGAAAGACTTCAAAGCGCAATATTCCATTGTAGGTTCCCGCGACGAAATTTGTTTTCTGTCAACATTATATTTAATTAATCAAACCATAGGGAATAAAAAAGTAAACTTACTTTGCAAGGAATTCTTAAAATACTTCAAATGTTCTGTAACTTTAAATAAATTATCCATTAATGATCCATTTTCTTCACTTAAACAGTACTAAAATAATAAGAGGAATAAAAATGAACTTTTCAGTTAAGAATTCATGATTATATTTTTAAAAGTGAATAGTAGTGGGGTCCAGGACATGCTATTTGTTAACTGAATGTCTTTGCATCCTAATAAGTTGCATGTTTCCACTTGTATTTGTAGCCTGCAAGCGCATGGCCATGAGATATCTGTAACTGGAGTCTAAATACACAAAATACAGATATACTCAGTCACACTTATTGATAGCACAGAAGAGCAAACTTTCCGACTTAGAAAATTCATGGATTTATTTGAATTGAAATGATTCAGGAAAACTCCTGATACAAATTGAGGGTTGCTGAATCAGTAATGTTACAGTTTGACATTGTGCCCACGTCTAACCTAGAACAACGTTTGGGAAAACTATGAAAGCAACTGCTAAATATTCAACTTAATTGTTGAAATCTTCCTAAATTGGGGATTCTGTTATGCACTTCAGCTTGTTTCCCAGTGTTTTCCGAGAGTGCTGTTTGCTACTTCAAGCTTCAATAGTTCTTATGGTTAGAATTCATTATCACAGCTAGAATCTTAGTGGAAACGCTATTACTCACTGGAGTTTAACTACATCCAGCTGACGAGTACTAAGTGGGACGAAAAGCACGTTCTGGATCTAACTACTAGCTATTAAGTGAACTAAATCATATTTGGTTTAAAGTAATTTGTTCCTTCATTTCGAGGTTTTAACGAGCTCTTTGTTATTATTTATTCTGGTAGTAATCACAATGAAAATATATTTGAATAGGCCTCAGTTAAACTTAAGACTTTCCTGTAGCATCGTTACACCTAGCATCAGCACCTGTCGCCTATTCCCTTTATTAGTAGTATATAACTAACAAAACAAAAATGAAGACCTAGGCCGTGGCGAAATTCAAACTACCGGCTATCATATCTTATCTCAGAAAAGTTTTCTGTTTTCAACTTCAAGTATCATCTAGTTACTTGAGACCAGAACATCAGACTTGAACTATTATTTCAGATAGTCTCAACAACAATGTCTACTTTTTATTTTTAAGTTAACGACATAAGTATTTAATTATTTTCAAATATTTTTCCCATGGATACGATGACAGATGATTATCAGTAAAGTAATAACTGAAAACCAGAAACCCGTTTCTTTTCAGAGGCATAGAATTATTTTAAAACGTAAGGTAGATAGTAAGGTAACTACTGAACATTCAGTAACAAAATGGCTATTGTTTTAACTGTATAGAAAGCCAATTGTGAGGGAAATACGTTAGAGATGGAATAACAGATAACATAAGTTAGGCGTTTTTAGATGTAGATAGTCCTTTTTAGACAACAGATAGGGCTGGTTTCATTTATTTTCTATTTAGTTGGCCACTCGCATTAGTTGAACATAGTTTTAATGATGGAGTAAACCACATTAACACAGCACAATAGCATCCACTGTGTTTGAATCACTACCTTTTTTTGTGAGGAAAGAAAACACCCAAAATAAAGGGTTTATTTTCATATTCCAGCCAATAACACTTAGGAACGTCTTTAGCAGTTGCCCAGTGCTGTAAAACCTCACTACATTGTTTATGCACTGCTCATATGGTCTACAGTGGCATCATAATGTAGTCTCCAGTACTAAGTGGATTGAACCGAAAAGGAATAAAACTTAACCATTAAACTACAAACCATAACATAATACGGAATTCAGCATCCCATGCTAAATATATGAAAGTGGTATGCAAAAGCTCTTTAGAGCTACGCTTCCTGTTCATCAGAGACTTTTAAAAAGTTTATTGAACTTAAGCTTCACTGAGCTTTTTTTAAGATTTTATCTCAGATAGGCGCGGAAAATGGTGCATGATATATCAGGCAGTCGTTTATTTGCCTTCGATCCTAAATATACACTAAAATGTTGTGTAGCTCTTGGAAATAGCATATCGATTAATTTCCCAGGATTTGTAAATAAGAATAGATAAACATCAACAGATATTAGGCGATTTTCTGTTCACCGATGCAGATCAAAGCAGTATAATTGGCATATTTCATTGAAAGCTAATAGTGTAAGTCAGACACTGGTCTAATTCATAAAATTGTTGGACCAAACTTTGATATTACAAGTCAACTATAAAAGAAGAATGTTCTTTTCAATAACTCCTCATCAGGTTCTACAGTTATAAAATCAATTCAGTTAACATGTTAATAGCCGAAATCTGTGGTGAATGCATTTAGGAATGGTTATGGAGTGATAATTATAATTAAGTTCTTTAAGCTTGACGATAATAGTGTAACTTATACATGTATATCACTTGCGGTGATAAGTTCAGTAGAAGCTTTGTCAACTGATGGATGATCAGACTTGTGGTGAAGGAAAGTTAACAATAAAGTTCCAGGTGGTACATTGTGTTGAGTGAGTAAGTGAGTGATTAGTATAAATAATGACATGAATTTACTATGAAGGCAGATATCCAATGGATATTTCATCATAAGATGGTTAAAATGTGGATCGGCTGAGAGAACTAGAATAGCAATAATGTAGAAAAATGTTAAACAGGAGTTTTAAAGGTGTATTATTATAAGACGGGAGAAATGTCTGGTCAAAAACTACTGTATCAATAATAATATTTGCTCCTTTTAAAAACGAAAGTGAAGAAGAGAGCACGAAAAAAAGAAGAGAAGAAAATTAAGAGAAAAAACGAAAGGTTGAGGGGATACTGTTCATTGTTGTGCTAGCATCTCTTAGGTGTCACGTATCTATTAGATGTAGCTATTACAGAAATTCTAATGAGTGTGATCTCACCCTTTGCAAACCATACCGGTAGATGTTGGCTTATCCTGAGACGGACGTGTCTACTAGTGTGCCCTATGCGACTTGTCTCACATGAACAGTCGAATCGGTATATACATGACGATGGGCTCAAATTAGGTAAGGCATCCTTAAGTCTTAGGTTGAACAACGGTTGACTATTAAAAGATACACACAGACGTCTTAAGTAAAACGTTCTGTCTATAGCTCTGGATAAACTTTGCGATAGGATTTCACTAGGGATATCTCCTTTTAACTGGAGAAGCAGAAACAAAAGTTTTTCCCGCATTCTTATGGATTCATGTTTGTCAGTATCATGATCGATGTTTTCTCTTATAAACTGTTAAGGATATCCGTTATCTCTTAGAATACCCAGCAGGACTTACAATTCTTTCTCGACATATTCCGAGGAGCAGATCGACCTTGCTCTAAACGCTAAAAACTGAATAATATTTCCTTTGTACTCCATTGGTACAAATCTGAGGTTTGTTTATTGCGCTTTCGTAGACTTACTATATACACTCAGCTTCAAGGAAGTGTTTTCTTTTCTCTTCTTTGCTTGAAGAGAATTATTACTTTCACGATCTTTTGAAAAATGAACTGCTGGATGGGCGTTATTGAAGAGATTGAGGATCGAATCGATAGAACTGTGCTTATTACAGAATAGAAATGTATAATCTATATACCAATAATGCAAATCTTTGTTCGTACTGTCATCCATCGATGGTCCGTTTTCTAAATGTGAGGCCTAATGAGGATCCCATTGCTATAACGTTTATTTGTTTGTGCATTTTACTATTGAAAACTTGATTAGAAACCCTCTTGGGTTCTCAACAGGGGTGTCTGTATTTGTTTTCCTTTCTATCAGCTGTTCGCATTTTGATATTACAGTGTGCACACTACAAAAGTGATGGCTTTCATCATTTTGATTGAGATGTCCACAAAGGAGCAATAATTCAATCCGGAGGTTTGTGGAGACTTTATTGATTTAGGGCTGGTATTGGTCATGAACTGATATCAGTTGCAGAAACACTGAAAACTTAGTGGCACCTGTTTTGTTCTAGTATGAAATCACTCAGCAGTGCACGTGTATTACCTCATCAGGGATCGAACCCATGACCTATAAGCCTGAACATGAGCACGTTACCATTGAGCCGCTGGGTCTAAATCTCATGACGTATATAATTCTACTCCCATTAGTTCACAATATAATGGGTTCACAGGTAGGCACTAATGAGAAGTCCCATACTAGAACGAAATAGCTATCTAGTGCTACCAGGTTTTCAGTGTTTCTCCAATCGAGGTCACTCTGTGATGAATACCAACTCCAAAAACGTACTGAACCAAATGACTTAGAGAAAGTAACCCAGTACTCATTATGGTACAAAAAACAGTAAGGATTCAGCTCTGCTCTTAGAAACTGTTCTTGCTCAGAACAAGTTTAGAATAAATAAAGAGAATTGGAATGAATTCACAATTCTCAGTGAACTTCTCTGACTGAAAACCATGTGTACTTGATAATTTATAGTATATTTTACCCGTAGAGGATCTATATGAACGTATAACAAACTAAGTACAAGATGTTACGGTATACGGATGAAAGCAGATGCTGCGCCAGACAGTAATATCCTGGCTCACTGGAAAAGAGTAATTTCAGTGTGAATTAAACACTCAACAACTAAACGCGACTATTAGTCAATAGAGAATGCTTTTAGCTGAGGATGAAGATAATGACTATTTGGTGTTCTCCAAGTCTTGATTTTTACTCTCGGACGTTTCATCATCAGGACAGATAACTTCTTCAGTATTTACTGAAAAGATAGAGAACTCGTGAGCAGTTAAATGGTATTGGAAAGAAACGAATGGAGTACAGGACGAATTATGAAAATTGTGACTGGAATTAAACGAGGATATATTAACGAACGAACACTTTTAATGTTGAATTCTGCTTAGGTGTTGCCGTCATCAACGCTGTTTCACGGATATATATATATATATATATATATATATATATATATATATATATATATAAAGTTAGCCGAAATTCACCAATTGCTTTGACTGGTTAAGGATTCCCATTGTATCATATTATGCTCAAAGCGTCATCAAGTAAATAATAGTATTTCACCGTGTGTTATAAATCAAATGAACAAATCTGATATATAATTAAATTCTACCACAGTGCCCAAGTTTTATACCTATATTAATG